AACCAAAGTCCAACTAGCAATAACGAAACCTATTGAATATGTCAATTGATAGACTATTATTTAATCGCCTAGTTTACTAGTTCACTTGTCTTCTAGCCGGTTCAAATCCAGGGCATGAATGGAAGGTTAGGTGTGCGACTGGCGGCCCTAACCTGAAAATAAGTTTAGCGGCTACGGAAATTTCAATACACAACAGAAATATAAATAAAGAGACTTATTATTTTCAGGAATAAGGGAGATGGAATGATGCGGGCTGGTGAAAACCTTCGGGAAGCGAGTCAGCCAATGTATCTTCTTTCGATGAAAAGAAAAATAATCACAGGGACGTAGAATATTCGCAAAATGTACGAAACTGGGAAGGCTACCCAAGTTGTCAAAGAAATGAGAAGATACGGCATACAAGTGCTAGGAATCTTTGAGAGCAGATAAAATGTATGTGAACTCTCCAGTTTGTTAACTGGAGGGTCAGTAATCTACTCAGGTCACCCAGATGACAACCACAATCACACTGAGTGAGTGTCTGTCATGATGCCATCAGCAGCAGCCAACGCTCTTATGCATTGGGAACCAATCTTCTACCTGATTATTACAACAAGAGTCAGCTCAAAAGGAAGGAAAGATATTATCATCCATTGATAAGCACCTACAAACAACGCAGAACGAGATAAGATAGATTTTTACAGATAACTTCAAAAAGTAGTGGATAAAATCTTAAATGGTGACATCAGAATCCTAATGTAAGATGTGAATGCTAAACTGGAAACAAACAACACTAGAATAAAAATAATCATAGATCGAGAGTCTCTCAGAGAAGTGAATCAGAACAGAGAACTCTTTGCAGACCTCTGTGTCTTCAGTGATTTGACGGTTGAAGGCAGTGTGTACGAGTAATAGTCGACATGGATTTTACTTCACGGACACACCATAAACCAGAGAAACTTCATCCGAATGTTACCCAGGAATGTAGAGATGCAGCTAGCCTGTTGGACTCAGAGTCGACAAGAGGAGCAGATGTGGGCTCAGACCATCCTCTAATTCAAGGAATCTTCAAGGTGGAGTTGAAATCCTTCAGATTCCTTCAAGTTTAACACTAAGAAACTGAAGGAAAAAACTATGAGGGATGCCTTCACTACAGATATCAGAGCAAAGTCTGGGACACCATGTCACGTAACTGAGGAAACCTGTGTGGAAGAACATTGGAACTCTCTGAAGGTGAGATTCAAGGAGACATGTACATCAGTTCTAAGAAGAAAGAAGAGAAACAACAAGGAATGGCTTTCAACAGACACCTACCGGGAAGCTAATAAAACAGAGGAGGATGCTGAAAGAGATGACTCAATACAAAGATGAACAACAGAACGAGAAGCTTAGTTTAATGTACATCTCACTGAATAAAGAAGTGAAGAAGAGTGCTAAGAAAGACAAAAGGCAATTCTACGACACACTGTCAACTGAAGTAGAACAGGTCACAGGTAAAATAGACCTTAGAACATTATATCAGATAACCAAGTCTCTGTCCAGGAAGAGATCAACCCAGATGATGAAGCCAAGCAAAGATGTTCAATGGAACCCAATTAACAAGGAGGAGAAACAAATCAAACAGTTTTCTGATCACTTCAAAGGACTCATAAATTAACCATCACATGCAACTTGTCCAGAACTACCACCATCACCACCCACAGAACTGCCAGTGGACACTAGTCCCATAAAAAACGGAAGTTACTGAAAGCCAGCGAGACATAAGGGTCAGACGAAATTCCTCTGGAACCACTGAAAACGAATCCAGATGAATATGCTGACGCCACTTTTGCGAACATTTGAAAGGAAAGAAAGGTTGGAAGAAAGCCTACCTTGCCAAACTATCAAAGAAGGAAGATTTAGACCTCTGCAAGAACTGGAGCAGAATCATTCTTCTCTTTAAGCTGAAAAAATATTAAGTTGTGTCATTCTGGGGAGAAGAAATGATGCTGTGAATGTAAAACTCCCGCCGAAACAAGCTGGATTCAGGAAAATGAAATCATGTGAGAATCGCATTAAAACTTTATACATCATTAACAAACACAGCATAGATTGGCAGTCAAATTACACTTTGAAAAGACCTTCGACAGAGTTGACAGCGAAGTAATCTGGGAACTACTTAGACACTAGGGAGTGCTGCAGATCTTTATCAAACTCAGTGAACAGATATATGGCAGTGCTACGTGTCAAGTGATCTACAATAAAAAAAACTCAGCAGAGGAGTAAGACAGGATTGCCAGTTTTCATCGACGATATTCCTAATTCTTCTAGATTGGAATATGCGTCTGACTGTGCAGAACGAGAAGACAAGAATACGGTGTGCTGATAAGAAACTTCTAGAAGATCTGGACCTACAGGAAAAAGCAACAAGTTGGCATAAGAAGTAGAGAAGACAGGAATTCAAGTTATGAGCATAGAGAAGACAAGGGTGAAGAAGACCACCAACGAACAACGTCAGGCACTAATTGCTATCAACCAGAGAAATTTAAAAAGGTCATTTCTCTTCCCTGTCTAGGCACCATCGTCGGTGGCACAGTGGTTAGGACTCTCGATGACCATGGACATGGTCCGGGATTCGAGCCCACACCGGCGCACACCAGATATCTATGGTCGGCCTGCGAAATTTGGGCTACCGATATCCACGCTGAAAATTCCATACTTGTACCAAAAATACAGTGTGGAATCAAACTGTGATCAAAATAAAAATAAAATAAATACTGGCGGATGTTAAGGATGAGGATGTCCAAATCAAGATCAGAAAGGTAAGACCAACCTGCGTCACTCTGTAGTCAGTTTGGAAATCTGCCATGCTCAGCATAAATAGAAAATTCGGATTTTCAACACCAATATTAAGTCAGTCAGCTCTTTTATGTGGATCATAAACTTGACTCGTCACAAAGGCGTCTGAAGCAGGCTGCTTCAAACGTTTATCAGCAGCTACCTTCTCTCCATACTTAAGATCAGACGGCAGCAATAAGAAACTCTTGGGACGAACCAATTAAGAACTGATTGCTCAACAAATATGTCCAAAAAAAATAGGTGGATTGGATACATACTGATAAAACCGTTGGGTGACATGACACCATAGGCAGACCTTCGACTGAGATCTTCATGGGAAACTGCAAGTCGGGCGTCGAAGGTGACATGGTGAAGGTCGTGCGAGGATGACAAGATAACTTATGGGTAAACTTAAAGTCAGCTGAACAGGACTTCAGAGAACAGGGTGAAACAAAGAGATATGTTGCAGAAACCCTATGTTCCACTCTGAATCCAAGAGAACATTAATAATAATCTGCTTGATATTCGTAACATTATTCTACAACTCGTGAGTGAAGCATCCGGACTTATTATATGAGACCTTATTTTAGTTTAAATACACAGACTACTTACAAAATCTAGTAGTATTTGCACAGTGTCACAAATTACTACATGGTAATGACGCTTACAACAGACTTAATATTGTGCTATCAATAAATGGACTGAAGATTCTGTGCATGAGTAAAATGCGAGACGCAGGGAACAACATAATACCCACTCAGTATCCACTTTAGATACCTCGTCAATATAAACACTCACAGAAACCAGTGGACTTACCACAACTGCCTGTCATACACACTGCCACCCAAATGTAGGAACTTATCGGGGAAAACATTCACAACCTCTTGAAACAAGTTCGACAGAATTGTACGAGTGTCTTCACTAGCTGGATTGATTGGTCCTTCGTGTGATTCACCTGAGAGTATTTCCGGATGACTTCTCCCCCATGACGAAGTGTGACCTGAATAGGAAAACAAAGTGATTTGTTGATGTTTGTTGGTGTGTATGTGGTAATAGTTGAAAAGACGATTTCATGAAACCCACAGATGTTTGTACTGAGAAGGTCCGATGAAAAGAAGAGTGGTGAGTCACCGGTATGATTTCTGAAAGACATGAGCCTGTGATGTACCGTAAACTGGAAAGTGATCATTTCCGATGGTCATCATAAAGTCATTCGTAATGTGAGTTTCTACCAACATGAAGAAGGAAATTTGTTTTGAATATATGTTCAGACAAACTGAAATATTCGAAATGGAGATAACACAGCCCTACACATTTCAATCACTGATGATATTCACGAAATTCGGCATTTTCATTTTAAGAAGACTACACAAAGTTCAGAAAAGATATCTTTTTAGGAATTTAAATCGCCGAACTACTGCAAAGGTCCCAAAATCTTCACTAACCACTTTGCTGCTCCATGAAAGGAGAGTTATACGTGCCTAAAACTGGGCGAAGAGGAAGACCCGCTTTGTGAATTTTGAGTAGATCGTAAATACGTGAAGCATTGATACCTGTTGGCTTCATAGACTCATACATAGCTGATGATAATACTCCTTTTAGGTTTAGTTTTTTGAGAGAGTCAGTCATTAGTTTCTTCACTTTTACATTGAGATCTTTGGAACTACCAAGAGATCAGAATACCATCCATTTTCTCAACGTAGTCGCTTTTATCCGGTAAAACTACACTGTCCCTTTATGTGGCGTGCTAATAATTAAGCTTTCATTATATCTAAGTTCTCTTAGAGCTTGTGTTGCTTCGATAACAAGCTATTTACTGAATGTCTGTCATTTCGGTACTGTTAGCAGCTGTCAGGTAGCGTTTTAGCACAATTTCATTCACTAAATTGTAAATTTTGATACCACTTACCTTCACATGATTTGATTACTGATCTCACTTGTTCAAACACTTACTTCGAATTTAATAGTAGTAATTGAAATCATTCAAAAGTTTCTCAAATACTGAGCATTTTTAAATGAGCACAGTATTCAGAAGACTCCTTCTTACCAGGTGTATCAAACTCAACTATAACTCGGATTCCACGTAACCGAGCGAATTCTATCAACGAGTCAATTTCACCTCTTTCATATACATATTCTTGAGAATGGTAGGCTCCCTGAAAAGTCCAGAAACAAAGTGAATTATTGACACACTAGTTCCTTACCTGTGAAGACAATTCAGGATAAACGGAGGAATCATATGGGAAGGATTCATCGTCCGTCATGTGCCAGTGCAATACATTCATCTTGACCATTGACATTGCATCCTTGTTTTATTATGATCAATTTCAAGTCAGAAATGACTATTCAACTTACAATTAGATTTCTTATTGTATCAGTGCTGAGATAATGTCTGGCTGTGTCTATCATGACTCCACGGTGGAAAAATCGTGGTGAATCATCTATGTTACACTCATAGATCTCATTCTAAATTCATTTTCAACACTTCTACATGTAATTTACATGACCAGAAATATCTTTCTGCACCAATTGGAAAAGAGTTTCTAAAGCATGTAGTGTTCCCCAAATTTCTTCTGAACGAATATTGATTGTGTCATCTCTAATTTGCATTGAATCTAAAAAGCCAATCGTATTCATTCAAAGTTCACATTTGTGTTCAACTCACATGACTCTTTCATCGATTCTGATGGCCACAGATTACTCTCTTTTTCACTACATCCTTCAGTGATCTCGATTTTCACCGACGACAGTGAACAATTCTTTGAGTATAAGTAACCAGGTGGCACGTGTTCCGTTTTTAATCTTGATACAAATCGTTTTATCGCTTCTTCCAGTATATAACATGAGGTGTAATCATATTCAAAATTCAACAGTCCATTCACCTTGCATAGTTTTCTACGATATGAAATTATTTTCATTTGTGGTATCAAGGCTGAAGAAATTATTATGAATGTGGTGAATATCAGTAACTTAGACATTATAATCATTGTAGAGATTTTTTAAAATTGAAATTCAATTTGAAGGCAACAACTTCAAAAACGTAAGTCTGTATGTATTAATTTAATAATGGTGAGAATTTGAGAATGCTTATTAACAGTACTGAAGGTCATTTTATAATCTACTGAATCTCTATTCGATTAGTTTGAGTGATTTATTTATTTTAACAGGTCCAAATGTTCAACTGAATTCTTTTTATTAGTCGTCGTTAAAAACAACACTTGTGTTTGTTCTCATGTATAAATACATTACACAGATAAAACATACGATGTTTAATCGTTTGCCTTTGAACTAATGTAGCTTACTCAGTATACATGCCACGTCGATGTGTTCATAAAATCTTTATAGTCTATATGATGTCAATAACAGCCTGTATTGAAATAAGCATAAGTAACATTCCAGGCTAGCAAGCGCAAATTTCCAGTTCTCTTTCCTTACATGGGAACATTGTGTTAAGCGTAGCATAAAGTTACATTGAAAAATTTCATTGAATTAGATAACAGTTTTGATAGTGTGAAATATTCCCATATTATGAATTAGAAGTCAATCTGAACGAAGAATATTCTTTTCAATAATTTCTCTTCAGGTTCTTACAATTATAAAATATAATATTTGTTGTCGTTACAATAAAGGCCAGTTATGCGGCGGAAACATTTTTAACTCAGAATAACAGATTAGTTATGGGGTGTCAAAATAAATAGTCGTATTTGTGTGACAAATTGCTTTGAGCTGAAATCGATTACAAAATATTGTAAAACAGGAGAGAATGGAGGTGATTAATCATAACAGATTTGTAGAGTGTGGGGTAGGAAAATTGACAAGTCAGTTCAAGGTTATAAAAGGTGTCAGGTGAGTGGCTAGTACAAAGTGGTCTGTGTTAAATAGGAGATAGTAAGACTGCAATGAGAGGTTCATAATGAAATAACGAATTTGTGAAGTGAAACAGACGGAGGCATATATTGAGAAAGGAGATAATATCACTAATAATAAGTCCGGATAGTATCAATGAAAAATTCGATAGTATTGAGGGAATGTGGTTTTTATTGTAATTAAAGCTTGTTTTCAAAAATCCTGTTACAATGTTGATGGATTTCTTATAAGACCGCAGCTGTTTTACTTCAGCATTCTAAATTAGTTAACACTAAAAATTCAAGCCAGTCTACGCTACTGTTATTCACTTTGCATAGTGCTGTTAAAAAGCATAACATGTTTTATTAATCATCTAATTATAACGTTACACACGATTTTTCATACTATTTATAATCGTTATCTATTAAAATTGTATCTTTATTTAAATAACCAAAACAAATTCTCGAAGTGCAAGTGTTTGTCATAACGCTCAACATTTCATGAGGGCAGCTTTCCTTTCTAAAAAGCCTAGAGAGAGATTCATTCATCTTACCTGAGACTTTCTTAAGAGTAGGATCAATAATGTATACTCTTAAGTAATTTCAAAACACAACATCAATAAAGAATAGGGACTAAGGTCAAATGACATTGAACCAACGAATTAGTTCGCTCAGCATTACAAATGGATACTTTTCATAATCTTCGCTGTAAATTTCATCCTGATTCAGAGTCACTGTTAGGATAGGATTAAGGTTAGGGTGGAACTTGCTATGAAGATTAGGATTGAAGTGAAACTTGAAAAGGAGATTAGGGTTAGAGTGATACTTGCAACGATGATTATGAAAAACATCCATTTATAATGCTGAACGATCTGATTGGCTGGTTCTAGGTTATTTGACTTTCGTGTCTGTTCTTTGCTTTGCGCATAACACCTTTTTTCAATACTTCCCAATATCCAGTGATTCTTCATTCGATATACAGTTTAATGTGAAATATATTTGAAAATTCGGAAGTCATTTTGTAGATTTTTATTCAACCTCTTTATTTAAGCTTAATTAGAATGATTTAGCATACTGACATGACAGTAAGATAAATCGATTGTAGAATTTTTTCACTAAATGCCAGCTTGCTTAAAGTTATGCACAATACCTGAATTTAAAATCGCTTTAATAAGGTTATCTTACAAATGAATAATTCAATATTATTTATACAAATGAACACACCTTATGCATAGCACATATCACAAATAGGAATATTCATCAGTGTTTAAAATGGAAAGAAGCTATAATAAGATGAGATTAAAAACGGTGACTATTGCTCACAGTATTGTACTTGTTTTTTTATCATCACTTTTAAATAAACCAACGACTGCTCGCAAGCTTTGATTTCCTCTTCATCACATGGTCTTCTGCATGTGACCCTTTGACCAGCGCCCACCTTATCGCTGTTCACTTGACGGCCAGTCTATTGTATCCAATATCGCTTGAAAGTTTATCACCTCAGCATATTGTTCAGTCTACCTCCATTTCTTTAGACGAAATTCGCAATTCCCGACTTAGACAGTTTGAGGTGGGATTTTGCCACAGTTTCCTTTCGAAACTGAAATTATTCAGATCAAAATGTGTGATCCACTTGATACCTTATGTGGTAATCAAGAAACGAAACATAAATGCATTAAACTATATCCTACTGGTTGATTGAGATGAATAGTTGTAGACCACTCACATTAATCAGTAGTGCTTGTTAGCTAGATTGAAATTATCTAAACACTGTATAGCCATTTCGCTCGTCTACCCTTTCTTGCCGGCTATCTGATCTCCACTATCAAGCCAAGATAGGCCTTAATAAAAATCTTTAGTCTAATTCCATTATGGGTAAATTTTGTTTTGATAAAGTCTCACAGCGTTATACAGTAATGTTTACTGATGACGTTTCGAGCACAATTTATTGCTCATAATCATATGATATGATTATGAGCAATAAATTTACCCATAATGGAATTACACTCTACCACAGTGCACAAGTTTTATTCTTATATCAATCTTTAGTTTGTTGGAAATGCTTTTGATGACATATCAAGTCTATGAACCATATAGAACTTGTGTTGAGCGCTAAATGCATAATTCTTCGCGGTTAGTTTTGATGATGCTTCTGGGAAACCGCCTACGTAGTGACAGATGTTATTCATCATATCACGACTTCAATGGTAACACCTATGTCCTCACACGAGTCATGGATAAATTACCAAAGATGGCTTCATCAGTGTGTATCTATGAATTCAACTGCTCATGTGGAGCTAGTTACCTTGACCATACTCAGAGGGCTTTATCCATGCGCGTGCATGAACATGTACTTGTATAGTTGAATGAAGGGGTAACCAAATGAGTAAATAGTGCAGTCTTAGCCCACCTGGTAGATACTGGACACTCGATAAAATTTGACCAGGTGTTTTCAGTTATTTACCGCGTTCCTGTTAATCTATCTAGAGGAGGTCGACCACGTCTTCTATCAGTAGCTGAAGCGGTTGCAATCAGTACCAGAAAACCGACTCTTTGTATACAGAAGAAGTATGCTCAACCGCTGTGTTTACCTTGGCTTACAATAAGGTCAACAAATCCTCCGTAAACACTAGCACTTTAAATTCCTATCACAATTTTCTTTCTTCTTCTTTCACTTGTTTCATTGAAAAATGTTCATTTATGACTTTTTACAACTTCAGGACCTTTCTTGTGATTTCTATTACCTTAGATTTAACTCACTTCATTAAATTCATTATTATTATTATTTGATAATCATTCACTAATGTTACTTTTAAGTTTACATCACACCACTGATTACACTCACCCTCGAAACCTGTGCTTTTGTTGACTATATATATATATATATATATATATATATATCTGACACTATTCTTAGCGTTGCCACGAAGAATGTTCTTCTCAGAGATAATTTGATCCTTCTCTTGGGAATTTTGCTTGTTAAATCTCCATTGAAATGAAAGTTCATGTACAGTTTCTTTTTCGGTGCAAGTGAAGTTTCATTTCTCCAAATTCTTGGTTTGACATTTTCTTCAATGAACCGTGATAGGTATCCATTTTGGATGAAGATTTCTCTCAAGAGACCTAATACAGTTTCTAGAACATTGAGACTACAAATGCGTTGGATTCGGCTGTCAAGGAATTTAACTAAATTGCACTTTTCGTTGTTGAAAGAGAACTGAACATTCAGGGTAGAAGATGAACTGGACAATCTCAGGAGAATCCTTGTCGAGAATTGTTATCCAGGACGATTTATTGCACAATCCATGAATCCCACACCGCAAAAGCCGCCCACGCTTAGCGTCCCGAAAAAACTACTCTACATGAACCTTCACTTCAATAGAGATATATCTGTGAAAACACTGAAAAATCGACTGTCGCGCTCGTTTAAGAAAACCTTCATCACAGCTGAGCTACGAGTAACCTTCTCCACAAAACCTACGATTCATGTGAACGTGAAGGATAAGCTACCACTGCTAGCCTCATCAATGTGTATTTATCAATTCACCTGCTCGCGTGGAGCCAGGTATGTCGACTGTACGCAGCGTTCGCTTTCCAAACGTATCACCGAACACTTACCAACATGGTTTTACAAAGGGGGAAAGCGCTGCCCCCGCAGCTCTATCTTAGAACATCTGATAGATTCCGGACACCAAGCTACACCCCAAACAAACTTCAAAGTCGTCTACAGAACACGAAGTAGTCTTCCTAAAGGTGTACTAATCAGACTTCTTGAAGCAGCAGGAGCAACGGAGATTCACTTGCTAGGTCCTGAACTCTGCATACAGGAGAAGTTCGTTCAATCACTAAACTTGCAATGGACGTAATCTATCTTATAACCTAACAGGTAAATTATACCTAATCTTTTTTCTCTTCTGTCTTTTCATTAGTATTTTTTGTCTTCTCAGTTGTAATATTTTACATTCTCAACATTCCGGTTCTCTGGCCCCAGCCGATTTAATTTCTACACCTCATTACCACTGTTACTAACTTGACCAACGCTCAATTTCTAGTCGTTTGTGTTACGTCATCCAATTTATTTGCTCAATTTTAGTTCTAATTTAAATGGCATTATTCTCTACGCCACTTTTACTTAGTCTCTACGTGTAATTACCTCTGTTGCTACCCTGACCTAAGCTGAAACATTTCAGTCAATTATAATACGTCATCTAACTTACTAACTCAATCTTACTTTAGTTGCTGTCTAAATAACCTTGTTTCTATATTAGATCATTCTTGTATTACCTGACCAATTATCTAAACTTGACAAACCTCATGTACATACACACACACACAAATAATTATACATAAATGCGACTGTACAGCTATGTGAATGAATTCGCTGAAAAGAGTCTCTTTGCTGAACGTCTTCTCTTTTTCGTATGACTCAATGGGAATTCTTAAGCTAAAAAAAACGTTCCAAAGACCCAGTGACGGTGAAGGAGCTGAATGGTTTCCTGCGTTACTCCGTCAAGCTTGCGGTAGCAAAGACAAAGATTGATTTCTTAAGAGATT